CACGAACCCGCGTCTCCTGCATCGGCAGGCGGACTCTCAAGCACTGTGCCACCAGGGAAGCCCCACTGGATGACTTTTGAGGACACTTAGCTGAATGCTGCTGGGAGACCAGCCCCAAGACTGACCCACTGTAAACGTGAGGAGCCGGGAGCCTCAGCTCCATTTACCAAACTGTAGTGTCTGATGACATATAATTAAATACTAAAGAGTCCTAAGTTCATCTTTTCTTTGCCAGAAGGAGCGGATAAAATAGGAATGCAGCATTCTGGGTGGTATTTTCAGGCATGAGGAGCCTGGGGAAGTCACTGGAGAGAGGCTCATGCCATCTGCTCCCAGGGTGACCGCTTGAGCCGCCTGCCCGAGGGCCCATTCCGAGCCCCCGCAATCGGCCAGGGGACGGGAACCCCACCAGCATGTCCCTGGGCAGCCTCTCACATAATTATATAAGGCTCTTCACCCAAAGGAGAGAAGAGACAGAATATACTTTCTATTGCTACTGCACAAAAATCTTGGGAAGTCTGACAGGTGCTGAAAAGGCCAGTGTGGTGAACTCTCCTAGAAGGCTACCATTTCAGCATAAGATTACCCACCACGTACCTTTGTGTTCGTAAAAGCGGCTCCTCACGCCCAGATAGCGAATGTTTCCGGAGCTTGGTCCAGGTTCAGCGGGCTGTAGTGTATTCTGTTCCCTGCTCCCACGGGATGGAGGGAATCAGCCCACCTTCGGAAGTTAACCAAGGAGCCAGAATCTTAATAGTAACTCTGTTTTTGAAAGTCCCACGGGAAGTGGTGGTCTGTTTTCCCTTCTGACATCCCAGTATATATAGTTACATATGTAAATATCTGAAACCCCATGTAATGGGGAAGACTATGTACAGAACAGCCTTCTCAAACATGGCCCCGGGCAGAAAGTCACTCTTGCCACTTGGGTAGGACATGCTGGTGACTCAGCTTTGGGGACAGATTCCTCGATCCGTCAACCCCTCCTGGTCCAGCCAGGATGCACCAGAACCCACCCTGCCTCTGCCTTCTCAAATGTGAGCATTTCAGGGAGCCACCATCAGCCTTGGGTTCACGAGAGGACGAAGCCCCCAGAGACCAATGCCTGGAGCCTGCTCCCCTCACTGGAGTGGCTCCTCCAGGCCTGGAGCCCATCACGGGGCACTGGACTCCGAGTCCCTGCAGCCGGGTCTGCTTTCTGAACATTGCCCATCAGCACCGGCCTCAGAGAGTCCCAGAGTAACCTACTACCTCCCCATCACTCCCACCACCCCTTTTCACACCCGCCACCCCGTCCGCATGCAGATGAGACCCACCCACAAGCCCTTCTTGGGTCCCTCAGCCCAGCGGTGAGGCTGTTAACAATGTTTACAACCAAGGGCACCTCCTCTTAGGTGTGTTTACTCTCCCACTTACAAGGCCACTTGCTGGTTTGAGTTTCATGTCTGTCTGCTCCTTCCCTGGTTGAGTCCGACTTGAGCACACAACACTGATCTTACGTCCCGACCCTCCAGCAAGGCAGTCGTGAGGACCGTGTGGGAAGGAAATTCCGTGTACATATTCAGCAGTCCCTAGAGTATGAACTTGTACTATTGTTCTGTAAAGAGGGTGAAATAGAGCTTATTGTAAAGCGCTGGGAGAAGTACAGTATTGTATTTGTAACAATATGGTTCTTTGTATACACAAAACTCAATGATCTCTATATATAAATATAAATAAATATATAAATAAGATCTATATACACGTGAGCCTGGAATGTTGATGACGCACACCCACTGAATGTACTTCCTCTGACAGTCTGGTCACCAGGCTGGCCCTCCCTCCCCTCCTCCGTACCGTTTTGGGGGTTGTGATGTATTTAATGTGTTCTCTTCCTTTATTTAACTGAACGCTAATGTCTGTAAGAGTTGCTGCAACAATAAACAAGAACTTCACCTCTTGGCCCGAGCTGAGTGTCTTAACTGTTTCGGGGGAGGGACAAGACTGAAAGTGGGGGAAAGATGTCGTCGTCCCAAAAGGCCACCTCCTACCCATCCCCTGGGACCTGCTCACAGCCCAGAAACCATTTCCTAAACGGGCAGGTTCTGTGAAACCAACACAGATGTAAAACACAATAGGCTGTGTCTTTTTGAATTACGGTTTTCTCAGGGTATGTGCCCAGTAGTGGGATTGCTGGCTCGTATGGTAGTTCTATTTTTAGTTTTTTAAGGAAC